TCGCAGCCCATGGGGTCCACGTCTCCACTACACACCCCGTGGGCTGTCGTATGCACAGCTGGGCTCTTAAGTCAACAAGTGAGCAGCTAATACGCACGGTCTCCTTCCCCACGTTAAAACGTCCCTCCCGTGTAGAAAATATGAGAGCAAGGTTGCTTGATTATTTATTTTTACACACACAAACAAAATACGATCCCAGAAAGGAATGCCGTGTGGGCTGATGCATATGAACTAGGAACATAAATACATCTTGTTTTACGTGGAGGGTCTGAATCGATTATTGGTATTGAGAGTCGGGAATTGGTAATCGCCAATGATTAATTTCGTGTCATTGTATAACGAGTACAATTGCCCGTAATATAACGGGTTCATGAAAAAAATTTTTTTAATGAAGATTGCATCGAATTTATTAAATCTAACATTTCTCCCTGCAGGTCACATCTGTTGTAAATTGACGGTCATCGCCCAAAAGTTGAAAAACAGGTTCGCTGAGACGAAGTCCAACACACTGAAAACGTGTGTCCTCGTCTTCGCTTTAAAATAACTGGTAGATTCACATCAGCCGGTGGAAGATCGATTCTGGGTTTGAAGACAACATCTCCGCGATTGGATTCTGAAATGATTTCAGGCCCGACAAAGTTACGGTGCATTTTCTTTGGTTCTTTCGGTAAAGTCACGTAGAATGATAATAAAATAATAAATTGATAAAATAAAATAACACAATATTCTCACGACGTTTCGGCCACAACACAAGCGGCCTTCATCAGGTGAAGGGGGCGAGACTGTCTGGTAGGACAGCGCTGGAGTAAAAGAGCCACGTTCAGATACGGCCTTTAAGCTGCTGCAGAAATAGAGCTTGTACCTGCCTCAAATTTCAGCACCACGGATTTGAGGCAGGTACAAGCTCTATTTCTGCAGCAGCTTAAAGGCCGTATCTGAACGTGGCTCTTTCACTCCAGCGCTGTCCTACCAGACAGTCTCGCTCCCTTCACCTGATGAAGGCCGCTTGTGTTGTGGCCGAAACGTCGTGAGAATATTATTGTGTTATTTTATTTTATCAATTTATTATTTTATTATCATTCTACGTGACTTTACCGAAAGAACCAAAGAAGATGAATCATTGCAGTCACGAAAGCTTTAAATCGAAATTTACGGTGCATTGTTCACGAAGTCGCCGGAACCGCGTGTGCCATTCAACACCATTCCCCCTTTTTAATGTGGTTGAGATTTAAAATCGACTATCGCAATGCTTCCCCTTTTCAAAACCCAACTCACGAGGTGGCATTCCCACATGGTGGTGTGAGAAGCGTGGTGCTAATAAAGTCTACTGGGTACGAATTTGTAACGTCGCTCGGAGCCACGTCGCCTAGCCACGTTACACAGACGGCGTTACACAGCGTTAGACGGACGGCGTTACACGGACGGCGTTACACGAACAACGTTACACGGACGGCGTTACACGGACAACGTTACACGGACGGCGTTACACGGACAACGTTACACGGACGGCGTTACACGGACAACGTTACACGGATGGCCTTACACGGCGTTACACGGACGGCGTTACACGGACAACGTTACACGGACGGCCTTACACGGACGGCGTTACACGGATGGCCTTACACGGCGTTACACGGACGGCGTTATACGGACAACGTTACACGGACGGCGTTACACGGACAACGTTACACGGACAACGTTACACGGACGGCCTTACACGGACGGCGTTACTCGGATGGCCTTACACGGACAACGTTACACGGACGGCGTTAGATAGACGGCGTTATAGTCTCAGGCGTTAGGTGCAGATGGCCAAATCTATTTGTATAACAATTCACTTTGGGGTATCTGTCTGTGTGTAGGGTTAATGTTATCGCGCCCTAAGAACGATTGTTTAAGGGCGCTTTATAAATCTCAATTATTATTCATGTTGGTGAGATCGGTGGCGTGGGTAAAATCACCAACACGCATGTTGCATGACATACATGCAACTTATACAAAAAAATGTCCGTTTAACTTGCGTAGAATGGGGCTCAAGACACAGATTATTCAAGTAATCGATGCACTTGCACACACACACACAAAAAAACGTAGTTTGGCTTTTACGGCCATTCGGGAATTAAAACGTCGTGTCGTATAAACACATCCCTCATTCACCCGACAGGGCCAATTCATAAAGTTGACAGGTCAACAAATGTGGCTCATGCGTTACGTTGTTACTGCAGCAGCAACGCCACAGTGACAACGAGCATCCCCATGAAGTTGGCACAATTGTGCCTGATGAAGCTGGTCGTAACGTGATCGTTTGTACTGAATTATCCAGGAAGGCACACGAAGCCGCAGGACTGACTTTTTTTCGGAAATCATCCTGGATTTTTTTCTTTATTTGAAGAAGTTTTAGGCAATTTACGAGCGTGTATTATATTTATTTATTTTAACCAAAATTGATTGATTGAATTTACGTGGAAAGAAAACCCAACGGGCGCAATAGTGTGGGCCGACACTCTTGCAATCCCCGTGCAGGTCGAACTTGCCTTCCCCTGGCGAGCACGCGTAGCGCACCCTCCTCCACGTCCCACGCCAAGGGAATCTCACAACAACAACGACAACAACATTCCGTGTGCTGCGCATGCGGTGATTCCACCCCAACCCTCGCTGCTGCTGCTGCTGCTGCCACCGCACCTCCACAGCGCCGCGTGTGACAGTGCAGCCGCCACGTGCAGCAGGGAAGCGGCGCAACCAACCACCGTCGCCCCCCACCCCCCACCGAGCCGTTCCGCGAGTGCTGTCGCCACGGTGGCTATGAGATGTTAACGACCTCGCTTGGTACACAGGGCGTCGTGGGTACGATCCCGACCCTGACGCCTGCTGCTGCTGCTGTATATTTGGAGTTTGCGTCTCTCTCATCATCATCACGGTGGCTATGAGATGTTAAAGACCTCGCCTGGTACACAGGACGTCGTGGGTACGATCCCGACCCTGACGCCTGCTGCTGCTGCTGTATATTTGGAGTTTGCGTCTCTCTCCCCGTGGTCGCGAGATTTATGCGGCCCCTCCGGTTTTCCCCTCCACATTTAAACTCAACGTCACGCGTCGAGAGAGTTTTTGGCTGCTGTACAAATTCCCACGTGATGAGCCATTTCGTCGAGAAATCATTTGTGATGGCCCAGTCAGCTCATGCTTCTGAAAAAGCCTCTCAGTGGGCCTTACATATTAAAGTTATTTTTTAAAATAGTTTGTATTCTTTGGGTCATTCGGTAAAGTCACGAAAGCTTTAAGTCAATAAATAGTTTGTAGTTTACCTATCTCCATATGTATATATAAAAGGCACAGTTGTGAATGTGTGTCTGTTCAAAATGTTTAGCGTACTTCCCGACATGCAACAAACTTGAAATTTGCCATGTGCGTACTTTCCAGACTGTACGCCATGTAAACATTATTAAAATACACTTTTGTATATTTTTTAGGGGGGGGGGGGGGCGCAATAATGCATATTTCTTGCACGGCAAGTGAACTGTGACGTCAAATCTGTCACGTGACCCGCGCACGTGGAAGCGTAACGCATTGTAGTGTAGTGGTTAGCGCGCCGCGCTACGAACCCGGCGACCCGAGTTCGATTCCCGCTCACGGCCACCACCGGTGACGATTATTTGAACCGGTCCTGGGCCTCCCCTAGGTCGACTCAGCCTCAAACGAGTAACTGCTCTGCTGTGTGAACATCGCCACTGGGGAGACAAAGGCGGCCGGGCGCGGTGAATCCAAGTCCCGGGCGAAGCCGGGTAGTTAAAGCTAGTCGTTTATAAGACGAATAGTTCAACGTTTGTCCTCACCACCGCAGTGGAGAAAAACCTCGTGGATGCAGGACGCCAGAGTGTCAGGCAACCACAAATAACAAGAGGAGGGTAATGTTAGTTTAATAAATAACGTTACGAGGCGGTCCACGAAGAGGCGCGCGTGCACGGCTCTGGAGCCGCAAGTTTCCCGACCCCTCTCCCGTAGGTGCAGCTACTTCTGAGATGTAGTCCAGTGGCCCGGTTGGCACACAGAGTGGGGGTGGTGGGGGGGGGGGCAGCACTTGGCCACCCACGTTGCCACTGAGAGGATTGTTCCACAGTAAAACTGAGATCCAATTTGTATTCTCACAACTGGAATTTCGCCACAATTAAGCACAAAAACAAAGCATTATTTTTCGAATTTAAGCTTTCGTGACTGCAGGGAATCATATTCTTGGTTCTTTCGGTAAAGTCACGTAGAAGAGAAATAATAAAATAATAGAAATAAAACATAATAAAATACAATTCTCACGACGTTTTGGCCACAACACAAGCAGCCATCCTCAGGTGAAGAACATTTGGGACGCTGTCTTTCCGACAGCTGTTCTTCACCTGAGGACGGCTGCTTGTGTTGTGGCAGAAACGTCGTGAGAATTTTGTGTTTTATTTTTATTATTTCATTATTTCCCTTCTACGTGACTTTACCGAAAGAACCAAGAATAACAAAGCATTCATCCGCCCAATATTGTTCGACGCGGTTCTTGGTGACCGAGCTAGAACCATCAGCTCGCTACCCTTGGCAAGCCAGATTGATCGCGGGGCGCTCTTACCTCTCTGACCCACTCGTGCCACCTCAATCACCATCTCCCAGGCGGTTCTCGAGACGCAGTGTTTTTTTACACTCACTTTTCCGCAATACATCTTCACAATCAAGTCGCTCACCTGGTTATCGATATTTCGGTGTGTGTGTGGCCTATTTTATTTGTCAAAGGGGGTTTCGTCTTGTTTCATCGCCACCTTTTCCGTTACTCAATCGCGTTTCCTGTCCCGTGCTCTCTTGCCTCCTGCCCTGCCCGTTTCATGCCCCTTTGTTAATGCCCCCTGGTCCAATGCCCTTCTCCCTGTCCCATCAACCCTCCTCCCCATACTCCACTCTTTTTCCTGCTGCATGTGCCCCTGCTTCTTGCTCCGCGCTCTATCACGTGGTCGCACGGGCACGTGTCCCTCCTAACCCCTAATATTCCATTGCTCTCTATTCTCCACTCTCTTTTTCTCTCTCTCTCTCCGTGTTCCACGGCCAATCCCTCTATGCCCGCAGCCCCCTAAGAAGCCCCGAGGGCAATGTGGAAGCCGGTGACACCACCGGCTGGACCAGTGTGGTCGCATTCCTGAGGCAGCTGGACAGCAGTGAGCATCTTCACCAACACAATCGTGAACCGAGTGTCGGGACGCCAGTGCCCAAAGGTGGCACGCATAACTCCTCGGTACACGGCTCCTCCTTCCTCGCCCTCCTCGCTCCTCCTCCCCCCGCATCTCCTCCCCCAAGTCTCCTGTCTCTCTCCCCCCTCTTAGACCGTCGGGGCTTGGTGCGGTTCTCGCTGCGTCGGATCCACAAAGAGATCGGCAGCCTCCTGTGTGGACGAGGCAGGAAGGACACGAGGGGAGAGCAGACGGAGGGGAGAGCAGACGGAGGGAGGTCGCAGCCCCCATTGCCCGCGATGTTCGAGCGCGGAGTCGTGGGTCGGCTCCTGAGCTGGCTTACGAATGCGCAGCAGCAGAATGCAGCGGCTGTCGAAGACGAACTTTACCTGCTGCAACACAAGAGGTGAGTCCTACCTGCAATGTTACGACCCCATTAACTAATAGGCGTGAGACCTACCTGTGATATTACAACCCAGTCAACTAATAGAAGTGACACCTACCTGTGATATTACAACCCAGTCAACTAATAGAAGTGACACCTACCTGTGATATTACAACCCAGTCAACTAATAGAAGTGAGACGTACCTGTGATATTACAACCCAGTCAACTAATAGAAGTGACACCTACCTGTGATATTACAACCCAGTCAACTAATAGAAGTGAGACCTACCTGTGATATTACAACCCAGTCAACTAATAGAAGTGAGTCCTACCTGTGATATTACGACCCAGTCAACTAATAGAAGTGAGTCCTACCTGTGATATTACAACCCAGTCAACTAATAGAAGTGAGACCTACCTGTGATATTACAACCCAGTCAACTAATAGAAGTGAGACCTACCTGTGATATTACAACCCAGTCAACTAATAGAAGTGAGACCTACCTGTGATATTACAACCCAGTCAACTAATAGAAGTGAGACCTACCTGTGATATTACGACCCAGTCAACTAATAGAAGTGAGACCTACCTGTGATATTACAACCCAGTCAACTAATAGAAGTGAGTCCTACCTGTGATATTACGACCCAGTCAACTAATAGAAGTGACACCTACCTGTGATATTACAACCCAGTCAACTAATAGAAGTGAGACCTACCTGTGATATTACAACCCAGTCAACTAATAGAAGTTAGTCCTATCTGTGATATTACAACCCAGTCAAGTAATAGAAGTGACACCTACCTGTGATATTACAACCCAGTCAACTAATAGAAGTGAGTCCTACCTGTGATATTACAACCCAGTCAACTAATAGAAGTGACACCTACCTGTGATATTACAACCCAGTCAACTAATAGAATTGAGTCTTACCTGTGATATTACAACCCAGTAAACTAATAGAAGTGACACCTACCTGTGATATTACAACCCAGTCAACTAATAGAAGTGAGTCCTACCTGTGATATTACAACCCAGTCAACTAATAGAAGTGAGACCTACCTGTGATATTACAACCTAGTCAACTAATAGAAGTGACACCTACCTGTGATATTACAACCCAGTCAACTAATAGAAGTGAGTCCTACCTGTGATATTACAACACAGTCAACTAATAGAAGTGAGACCTACCTGTGATATTACAACCCAGTCAACTAATAGAAGTGACACCTACCTGTGATATTACAACCCAGTCAACTAATAGAAGTGAGACCTACCTGTGATATGACAACCCAGTCAACTAATAGAAGTGAGTCCTACCTGTGCTATTACAACCCAGTCAACTAATAGAAGTGAGACCTACCTGTGATATTACAACCCAGTCAACTAATAGAAGTGAGACCTACCTGTGATATTACGACCCAGTCAACTAATAGAAGTGAGACCTACCTGTGATATTACGACCCAGTCAACTAATAGAAGTGACACCTACCTGTGATATTACGACCCAGTCAACTAATAGAAGTGAGACCTACTGTGATATTACGACCCAGTCAACTAATATAAGTGATACCTACCTGTGATATTACAACCCAGTCAACTAATAGAAGTGAGTCCTAACTGTGATATTACAACCCAGTCAACTAATAGAAGTGAGTCCTACCTGTGATATTACAACCCAGTCAACTAATAGAAGTGAGTCCTACCTGTGATATTACAACCCAGTCAACTAATAGAAGTGACACCTACCTGTGATATTACAACCCAGTCAACTAATAGAAGAGAGACCTACCTGTGATATTACAACCCAGTCAACTAATAGAAGTGACACCTACTTGTGATATTACAACCCAGTCAACTAATAGAAGTGAGTCCTACCTGTGATATTACAACCCAGTCAACTAATAGAAGTGAGACCTACCTGTGATATTACAACCCAGTCAACTAATAGAAGTGAGACCTACCTGTGATATTACAACCCAGTCAACTAATAGAAGTGAGACCTACCTGTGATATTACAACCCAGTCAACTAATAGAAGTGACACCTACCTGTGATATTACAACCCAGTCAACTAATAGAAGTGACACCTACCTGTGATATTACAACCCAGTCAACTAATAGAAGTGAGTCCTACCTGTGATATTACGACCCAGTCAACTAATAGAAGTGAGACCTACCTGTGATATTACAACCCAGTCAACTAATAGAAGTGACACCTACCTGTGATATTACAACCCAGTCAACTAATAGAAGTGAGACCTACCTGTGATATTACAACCCAGTCAACTAATAGAAGTGAGACCTACCTGTGATATTACAACCCAGTCAACTAATAGAAGTGAGACCTACCTGTGATATTACAACCCAGTCAACTAATAGAAGTGAGTCCTACCTGTGATATTACAACCCAGTCAACTAATAGAAGTGAGACCTACCTGTGATATTACAACCCAGTCAACTAATAGAAGTGACACCTACCTGTGATATTACAACCCAGTCAACTAATAGGAGCGAGTCCTACCTGTGATATTACAACCCAGTCAACTAATAGAAGTGACACCTACCTGTGATATTACAACCCAGTCAACTAATAGAAGTGAGTCCTACCTGTGATATTACAACCCAGTCAACTAATAGAAGTGAGACCTACCTGTGATATTACAACCCAGTCAACTAATAGAAGTGAGACCTACCTGTGATATTACGACCCAGTCAACTAATAGAAGTGAGACCTACCTGTGATATTACAACCCAGTCAACTAATAGAAGTGACACCTACCTGTGATATTACAACCCAGTCAACTAATAGAAGTGAGACCTACCTGTGATATTACAACCCAGTCAACTAATAGAAGTGAGACCTACCTGTGATATTACAACCCATTCAACTAATAGAAGTGACACCTACCTGTGATATTACAACCCAGTCAACTAATAGAAGTGACACCTACCTGTGATATTACAACCCAGTCAACTAATAGAAGTGAGACCTACCTGTGATATTACAACCCAGTCAACTAATAGAAGTGACACCTACCTGTGATATTACAACCCAGTCAACTAATAGAAGTGACACCTACCTGTGATATTACAACCCAGTCAACTAATAGAAGTGAGTCCTACCTGTGATATTACGACCCAGTCAACTAATAGAAGTGAGTCCTACCTGTGATATTACGACCCAGTCAACTAATAGAAGTGAGTCCTACCTGTGATATTACAACCCAGTCAACTAATAGAAGTGAGACCTACCTGTGATATTACGACCCAGTCAACTAATAGAAGTGAGTCCTACCTGTGATATTACAACCCAGTCAACTAATAGAAGTGAGTCCTACCTGTGATATTACAACCCAGTCAACTAATAGAAGTGAGACCTACCTGTGATATTACGACCCAGTCAACTAATAGAAGTGAGTCCTACCTGTGATATTACAACCCAGTCAACTAATAGAAGTGAGTCCTACCTGTGATATTACAACCCAGTCAACTAATAGAAGTGAGACCTACCTGTGATATTACAACCCAGTCAACTAATAGAAGTGACACCTACCTGTGATATTACAACCCAGTCAACTAATAGAAGTGACACCTACCTGTGATATTACAACCCAGTCAACTAATAGAAGTGAGTCCTACCTGTGATATTACGACCCAGTCAACTAATAGAAGTGAGACCTACCTGTGATATTACAACCCAGTCAACTAATAGAAGTGACACCTACCTGTGATATTACAACCCAGTCAACTAATAGAAGTGAGACCTACCTGTGATATTACAACCCAGTCAACTAATAGAAGTGAGACCTACCTGTGATATTACAACCCAGTCAACTAATAGAAGTGAGACCTACCTGTGATATTACAACCCAGTCAACTAATAGAAGTGAGTCCTACCTGTGATATTACAACCCAGTCAACTAATAGAAGTGAGACCTACCTGTGATATTACAACCCAGTCAACTAATAGAAGTGACACCTACCTGTGATATTACAACCCAGTCAACTAATAGGAGCGAGTCCTACCTGTGATATTACAACCCAGTCAACTAATAGAAGTGACACCTACCTGTGATATTACAACCCAGTCAACTAATAGAAGTGAGTCCTACCTGTGATATTACAACCCAGTCAACTAATAGAAGTGAGACCTACCTGTGATATTACAACCCAGTCAACTAATAGAAGTGAGACCTACCTGTGATATTACGACCCAGTCAACTAATAGAAGTGAGACCTACCTGTGATATTACAACCCAGTCAACTAATAGAAGTGACACCTACCTGTGATATTACAACCCAGTCAACTAATAGAAGTGAGACCTACCTGTGATATTACAACCCAGTCAACTAATAGAAGTGAGACCTACCTGTGATATTACAACCCATTCAACTAATAGAAGTGACACCTACCTGTGATATTACAACCCAGTCAACTAATAGAAGTGACACCTACCTGTGATATTACAACCCAGTCAACTAATAGAAGTGAGACCTACCTGTGATATTACAACCCAGTCAACTAATAGAAGTGACACCTACCTGTGATATTACAACCCAGTCAACTAATAGAAGTGACACCTACCTGTGATATTACAACCCAGTCAACTAATAGAAGTGAGTCCTACCTGTGATATTACGACCCAGTCAACTAATAGAAGTGAGTCCTACCTGTGATATTACGACCCAGTCAACTAATAGAAGTGAGTCCTACCTGTGATATTACAACCCAGTCAACTAATAGAAGTGAGACCTACCTGTGATATTACGACCCAGTCAACTAATAGAAGTGAGTCCTACCTGTGATATTACAACCCAGTCAACTAATAGAAGTGAGTCCTACCTGTGATATTACAACCCAGTCAACTAATAGAAGTGAGTCCTACCTGTGATATTACGACCCAGTCAACTAATAGAAGTGAGACCTACCTGTGATATTACAACCCAGTCAACTAATAGAAGTGAGACCTACCTGTGATATTACAACCCAGTCAACTAATAGAAGTGAGACATACCTGTGATATTACAACCCAGTCAACTAATAGAAGTGAGTCCTACCTGTGATATTACAACCCAGTCAACTGATAGAAGTGACACCTACCTGTGATATTACAACCCAGTCAACTAATAGAAGTGACACCTACCTGTGATATTACAACCCAGTCAACTAATAGAAGTGAGTCCTACCTGTGATATTACAACCCAGTCAACTAATAGAAGTGAGACCTACCTGTGATATTACGACCCAGTCAACTAATAGAAGTGACACCTACCTGTGATATTACAACCCAGTCAACTAATAGAAGTGAGTCCTAACTGTGAAATTACAACCCAGTCAACTAATAGAAGTGAGTCCTAACTGTCACTTGATTTGATACTGGAAGGGAATTCTAATCGTCACCTGGTCTGAGTATCAGAAGCGTGCCCTTAATCGGCACATGGTCAAGTATTAGGGCTGAGTCCTACCCATCATCTAGTCCAGTGCTAGATGCAGGTCCTGTCATAGTCTATCCCGGTGCTAGATGTGAGCCCTGCCACAGGGAGCCAGAGTACAGAACGCGATACGACGTCGCAGCCACGTTGTAAGTTTGGCGAAAGATGCGATTTCTCGAAATTCTGGGCAAATAGGGACGCTGGGATAACAGGCGTTCATAAAGCGACGAGAGATCTTCTGAGCGGTTGGTGACCAATCTCCAGTTCATTGTCACTGAAAACTGCTAACATAATTAATAACGGAATTAAACGCAATGCGCATACTAACCCCAACATCGACGATTCAAACGTCATGAATAGAATCAACATCACACACACGTCAACATGAACGCACCCGGAGTGATGACATCACACTGGCCATCCTGGAGCGGCACTCGTTTTGTCTTCCGGCTATGTGATTGGCTGGTGCAGTGCGAGTGATGACGTTTCACCCTAGCAATCACCTTTACGCTCGCAAGAGTTTAAATCTCAATACGACCCCCCCCCGCCCCCATTTAAAACTAAAACTACAGTTGATTGTCGATTATCCGGCACTGCGCGATTATCTGGCTGCTTCAAATATTATCCGGCGGTCCCAGGCCGATCCAGAAAAACCGACAAAACTGCTCAAAAGACTGTAACCCAGTCTGGCAATCGGCACTATGTGCGTGACAAAAAAAAGAGTTGCTATGCTTGATTTCAGTGTATCATATTATGTACGGGACATTATATACTACATACAACGTTAACATTGAACATTCTGCACGTGATTCCATTAGTCAATGCCGAGTCTTCGAAATTGGAGTAATAAGTACGGTGCTGTAAATACAGCAACTTTTTTTAAGGTAGGGTACATATAGTCCCCGACTTACGTTATTTCGATCTTACGATGGCGATAGCGATACGACAAAATTGTTAAATATTTCACATTTCGCGCGGCAGGCAAACGCAGCAGCGTACGAGGTACGATACTTGTACGTTGGGATGCTGCCGGGATGTACGTATGTTAAAAGTTTTTTTTTTAATATATAGCAGATAGGATTGTTTCCTGAAAAAAACTTTCTAATAAATAGCAGTTCATATAGGTAGGCTAAGAATTGACCTTGTTTTTTTACTTTACATTTTACTGTGCAATGCAGTATTATAATTAATAATAGGCTAGGCCACCTTCGACTTACGATATCTTTGACTTACGATGGGGTTCATCTTCTTTGGTTCTTTCGTTAAAGTCACGTAGAATGAGAATAAAATAATAAATTGATAAAATAAAATAACACAATATCATTGTGTTATTATAACACAATGTGTAAGTTTGGCGAAAGATATTTTATTCTCATTCTACGTAACACAATAATATTGTGTTATAATAACACAATGATATTGTGTTATTTTATTTTTTATTCTGTGTTATTATAACACAATATTATTGTGTTATTTTATTTTATCAATTTATTATTTTATTCTCATTCTACGTGACTTTACCGAAAGAACCAATAAAATAGTAAATTGATAAAATAAAATAACACAATAATATTGTGTTATTGTGTTATTTGATAAAATAAAATAACACAATAATATTGTGTTATTTTATTTAACACAATAATATTGTGTTATTTTATTTTATCAATTTATTATTTTATTCTCATTCTACGTGACTTTACCGAAAGAACCAAAGAAGATGAATCATTGCAGTCACGAAAGCTTTAAATCGAAATTTTACGATGGGGTTGTCGTAACGCATCTCCATCGTAAATAGAGGACTACCCTGTATTTATGTTTAGTCTTTTTCATCATTAGACCTCCTTTGCCAGTGCCAAAATGTAATAATAGGGTTTTTCTCCTTTTTTCTGGCAACTAAACTGAAACCTTTTTTTACAAGGATTCATGTCTGCATTAACTGCAGGTATTGTAGTTAATGCAGACATGAATCCTTGTAAAAAGGTTTCAGTTTTGTTGCCAGAAAAAAGGGGAAACCCCTATTATTACATTTTTAGTCTATTTGTATGTTTGTTTATGCCGATTTCATATAGATAACACATTTCAAACACAAAAAAACACATATAACAACACATACAAAGACAATGTCATACAAGAATGTGCTAAAATACGCTATGTTAAATATAAATGATTAGTGATTAGCCGGCGTTTTTGAACATCCGGCACTCGCCTCTCCCCCGAAGCCGCCGGATAATCGATGATAATCGATGATCGACTGTCGTTTACCTTGACTTGGGATCCCCTTTCTCTTAAGACACATGTATAATCGTAATTATATAATCATTGGCTCTGTCGGGTGGTGGAGGGTTATAGATTTTTTTTTAAAAATCCCCTACACACTCTAACCCAACAAAAAAACTAAACATGAATCATGAATATTGGTCGTAAAAGCATACATATTAAATATACGATCGCATTACAATTATTCACCTGCCAGACAATATGTTTAGAGTTTTATTTTTTCTGTACTCGGGCCCCAGGGTCCCGCACTAGAAATTGGTCCTATCAGTCGTCTGATTCAATACCCGAGGCGAGTCCTACCCATCACCTGGTCCGGCACTCGACGAGAATCCTACAGGTCACCTGATCCAGAACTACAAGTTTAGGTCGACCCACCACTTGGCTCGAGTACAAGAGGTGACCCCCACTTGGTGGAGTTGCAAGGACAGGCCACACGGATAGCAGGGTGAGCGTAACGGGGTCTCAGGTTCCAATATAAAGTTCGCGGCACCCTCACGCTTCCATGCAGACCCATGCCGTATCTATGCCTCTCCGGTTGTCTTGATCGATCTGTCCTGGTGGAACATTTCCATGAGCATCATTAAAAGTTCCTCCCATTCCCCCTTTGCCGCCGCCCCCATGCCCTTCCTGTGGCTCCCTACGGCTCCGTCTCGCAGGATCCGAGAGACCCCGCTGTTCACGGCCGCCAAGAACAATGACGTGGAGGCCATCCAGATGCTGCACAAGCAGGGCAACACGGACCTCCTGCAGCGCGGTGAGTGGCACACGAGGAGGGGCAAAGAGAGCAATAGGGACGACACGGGAAGACAGAGAGACACAGAGACGTGGGAGGGACAGGGAAGAGGCATGAGATATACAGCAATAAGTACACACAGGGGGACATTAACCTTCTGCAGCGTGGTGAGTGGCAAGACCCACGTGGAGACAACGGCCGCGAGGGCAGTGGCGTTGTGACCACACGTGTGGCTTGTGCCCTGGCGCAGTGCAGTGTCACGTGGTGTATGCATGTGTGGTGGTGGTAGTGGTAGGTGGAGCGGTCGCTTTGGTGGTTGGCCCACTATACTGTGACCCCGGTGACCTGAGTTCGATTTCCGGCCGTGGCTCACGTCAGTGAGGGATTTTTGAACTGGTCCTGCATGCGCTGTGCCGGCCTTAATATGTTCTTGCTAACAGCACTTGCCCTATCAGTCTACATGGCTGTAGAGGGGTGGTGGGGGTGGTGGGTGGAAGGAGATCTTTGTATTCAGTTTTGGACTCGGAACAGCTGGGCCCAACAAGGCTGCTGGCAAACCAATTCATGCCACTGGCCTCCCATGGTAAACTTCTGTGCGATGCTAATGGATCATTTGAACACTTTCTTAAGAATGATGGAGAAACCCACCGGACAGGAAAGTCCGCAGGCTGGAAACAAACAAGAGCAATGCAGGGAGCAGCGTTGTCCGATCGAGAGGCGTGAACTAAATCGGTGGGGTAGCGTGGTGGTTGGCATGAGCTCTGGTGAACCCCCTGGCCAATAACTCCTTGCCCCCCCCCCCCTCTTCGTTGCCTAGCATCTGAACCCCTCCTGCCCATGGACCCCAGTGCATCTGCACATCCTGCACACTCTATAGAAAGCGGTCTTCATTGCAAGGCCCTGCGGGTCACTGGTGGCCCTTGGTGGCCTTTAGTGCGGCCCTGTAATGTGCGCCACCCCCCGACATTACACAACGAGACAACACACCCCATCATCATCGTGCTGCTGTCAAACCCCAATGGATTCAAATAGTGTACGTGGCGACGCTCACGCCGACGATGTCTTCCCGGCGACAGTGCCACCCCGCCCCGCCACCCTCTGAAAATGAGTGAAGAACATCGCTCTAAAGCAGGGGTGGGCAAATTTTTTGACTGAGGGGCCGGGCCAGGAACAAATGGATGGAGTGTTTGTGTGAACTAATATAAATGGCATGTAAAAATCATTACATGAAAGGATTTGGCCTTTAACAGGTAGCAAAGCATTTATTTGCAAGGCAATTTAACAAATTGCACGAACATGAACAATACTAAAACATGTCGTAACGTGACTGATCAAACATCATGAAAACATCTGAGGCCTGCGCCCAAACCAATGACCTCACTTGAACTTCTTTATTATCTACATTAACAGGTCAGAGCAGCCACGCAGGCTGTGTGTCGGAGATTTGGCTCCCCAACCTCGCTGCAGCAACACATCATCACTTTCAGTTTCAGTGGGAATAGTGTTTTTGATCTCCCATTTTGCCAGTGCATCCAAGTCTGGAGTTATTTTGGTTGTGGCATTTCTCAGGATAGATCTGAGGTGCTGATCCGTTAACTTTGATCTGTGACGGGCTTTGTTGGCGTTCATGACGCTGAATGTCTGCTCACACACATAAGTCGAGCCAAACAAAGTCAGCATCTTCTGTGCAGTCCTCCGGAGGTTTGGAAACGTGGCTCTGTTAAGTGAAGCATAAAAGTCATTCAGTTTAACAGAGTTGAACTTCTCCTTTAGGACGGAGTCAGACTGAAGATCTATCAGTTCCAACTGCAGCTCCTGTGGTGCTGTTTCAGAGTCTTGTGACAGGGGACAGGACACCAGCTGAAGTGACTGTTCAATGTTTTCGAAATCAGAGAACCTACGCCAGAATTCTCCGTGCAGGTCCTCAAGTGATTTGCTGTATTTTTTTTGCGTTTCGCGGTGCCTCTTCTTGCATGGCAAGTGTGGGGGAAATGAGTGAAAGATTTGTTCGCAATTTGTCTGGAGAACAAAGTGAGCTTGGATTTGAAGGCTTTCACATGTTTGTACATGTCGTGAACAAACTGATCTTTCCCCTGCAGCTTCACATTCAGCTCATTCATGTGTGGAAATGTCCACAGCAAACGCAAAGTCACTAAGCCAGTTCTTGTTGCTTAGCTCAGGAAATTCGTCAGATTTCCCCATCAACTCCAAAAATGCGATGATGTCCTCTTTCAGCTCCCACACTCGTTGTAACACTTTCCCCAAACTTAACCAGCGGACACGAGAGTGGTACAGCAAGTCCTGATGATCCGCATCAGTTTCCTCCAGGAACGTAATAAACTGACGTTGCTGAAGTTCCCTTGCTCGTATAAAGTTAACAAGTTTCACGGCTGGATTCACGACATGATTAAGTTGCAATACAGACTTGCACAGGGATTCCTGATGGATGATGCAGTGAAGGAAAATAAGATCCTGGTCAGGGTTTTCCTCTTTCACTTTATTCTGGATTCTTTTCAGCAGCCCAATATTTTTTCCAGTTAAATTTGGCGATCCATCCGTTGTGACATTGACAAGTTTACTCCAAGGTAGCTTCATTCTTTCGATGACAGCAGACACCTGTTTATACAAGTCCTCTCCCCGCGTTGTTCCTTTCAGGGACTCCATGGTCAAAAACTCCTCTGTTATCGCAAAACTGTCGTCAATGCCTCAGATAAAAATGAGGAGCTGAGCAGTGTCTTTTACGTCCGTACTTTCATCCAGCGCTAGTGAATATAACTCAAAGGAATCAGACTTTTTGTTTAATTGGCTGGCTATATTTTCATCAATAAGTTCCACACGGCGAGTCACAGTCCTACGTGATAAACTGACTTTTTCAATTTTGCTTTTGATCTCCGGACACAAAATGTCAGCTGTCTGTACCATGCATTCTTTTACAAACTCGCCTTCGGAGAAATGCTTGCTAGCCTTTGCTATTTCGAATGCCACCAAAAAACTTGCCTTGGTAGTTGACTCTTGAATTGCAGTTTGTCGGTGAAAAAAATGTTGCTGAGTCTGTAAATTATCCGCCAACCTCTGAGCCGCAACCGCCCGTTCTTGCGTTGACTGCTTGCTAGCGTAGTTAGCATGCTTCGTAGCAAAGTGACGGATGATGTTGTACTCCTTGAAAACTGTGACAGTTTCTCGGCATATCAGGCATACAGCCTTCGATTGGACTTCAGTGAAAAAGTATCTTGTTGTCCACTCCATGTTAAACACTCGGCACTCATTGTCCACTTTTCTTTTTCCTTGATCCGCTCATTTTACAGAAGGGCTCACAGGGCAAAGCGAAAAAGTGAAGGGAGCATCGTATCTAACTCAGCAATGTAAACAAACCCTAAAAATGGCGCTGACGGCCCACAATGCATTGCGAGATCATGTGCCCTTTCGAGCCCTATACACCACACTCCCGGTCAAAGTGCGCCATCTAATGGGGAAATGGGGGCATTACAGGAGAAAGGTAAAATTTAATTTAATAATATTATTTGGACAAGTTCGGCGGGCCAGATTAAAAAGCCCAACGGGCTGTATACGGCCCGGGGGGCCGTACTTTGCCCACGTCTGCTCTAAAGTCAGGAGTCTGCGGCCGATAATTGCGTTTCCAATTTGTCTGAAATTAGCCATGAGGCAGCTCGACCGCAGCGCGTGAGGCTTCGATGTCACCGGAACCCTTCGTGGCTTCGCTGATCTTTTGCAAATGAAGACGGCTTGTGACGAAGCAGGTACTGTGCCTAGAGTCTACGAAAACTAAAGGGCCTATGAAAAAAACATTTTTACCAGGTTTCTTGTTATTGTTGTTATATGATTAAACATTTTTTTACCGAGATATCTTCTTTAAAATATATTTACATAGCAAGTGAAGCATATTACACCTAAAATCACAGTCAGACAAATATTTAAGCTTCAACGAAGGTAAAGCAACATGGCGCTCACCACATGGTCGTCTTGCCAGAATATTGAACTTGTTATCGATGAAAATTAACGGCATCCTTTTCAGGCTGCGTCATCCGAATTGATAATCAGAGTAAAACATTGTTGAAGAAATTTTCGCTTATAATATCTTTAGGCTTACCTTGGTTTTTTTTCATTTCCAATTAAATCTGGGTCACACAGCGCGCTCCTATCGAATGAGGGCACAGACTAAATAATTAACGTATCGGTAATAACATCTGTCCAGTGGCTGGGCGAAGTAGGCATGAAACAAGCGGAGTGACAGCGGCGAGAGTAGTAACATAGGCAGGAGCAGTACCAACGAAACAGAAGTGCCTAGGGCCTAAAAGAACCTTAATCCGGCCCTGTGGCGAAATGTGGAGAGGTGAGCACCATGAGGCAAGCTGCTTCTGAACACGGTTCAGCAGATTCAAAACCACGACAGCAAGAGATTTGCGATGTACAACCTGGAACATTTTCAAGCCTCGGCATCGCACTGACCAAGAAAACATTATCATCAACAGACGGACAGGGCTCCAAATGCCCTTCAATTCGGGAGAACCAGTTCGGACATCACTCGCCAATGATATTCTCTGTGGCCAACTCAGGTTGTCGGGTTCATAGTGTTTTGTGCGAAGTGCCGTGCCACTGCCCTGCCTCCCCTGCTCCCTCTACGGTCGCCATTGAGACACTGGCTTTAATTCTAAGTGAAGTGGAGGGATGGTTTGGCAGTGTAGAGGAGTATTGTGAGTAACAGATGAGGGGGCAAACAGAAGGAGGTGCGAGCGGATTGACAGTCAAAGATGACGCAACGTCACGGGTTGCGTAAGGGGGGGGGAGGAGCCGCCCAAGCGGTTCTTAAGCGGAACCCCGTGACGAAAGCGGGATCGTCGTGGGGAGCCAGGGTAAGGACCGGCTGGAAGAGGGTCTCTCTCTCTCCTCGTCGCGGAGCCGTGTTGGCTGAACCCCCGCTTCGGGCAGACGAATGAGAGAGCCCAAAGGGTAGCCTCGGGTAGGACCCAAATAGTATTCAGTGTCCGGGGCCTAGGACCGAG